GATATTCGATTCATAGTAATCGAATGTAACTTTTTTCAATTACCAGCTTCCGATTATTTTTTGTTTTTTTTCCATCTGAAGCCTAGCTCTTTCATAATTCGTCGTAAACTTCATACCAAGTAAAAATTATATCTTCTTTAAATTTTTCGAAGCCTTTCTACGGTACGGAGTTTCGCTGCTTGTTATGTAGTTATTATGATTACATCTTTTTATTACAGATTGAACGAAACTATCCATTCCGGTAACTTTCTTCTTCACTGATCTTTTCTTACCCGGAGTCCGAAACACGGCGAGCAAGCCAGAGCCTTTAGCTTCGTTAATAATGCACCTAACAGTACTCACGGATGTTTTTGTTGCTTCCGAAGTCTGTTTTACTTTTTCCATATCATTCTTCCCCTGTTTTATAATGAAGCAATATACGTCGTACACAATTTTTCTACCCTTTCTTTTGAATACTACACCANAAGTCTGTTTTACTTTTTCCATATCATTCTTCCCCTGTTTTATAATGAAGCAATATACGTCGTACACAATTTTTCTACCCTTTCTTTTGAATACTACACCAGTTTGTCGCGGCATAGTGTATTTTTTATAAAAAATCAACAAACACTCAACAAATAGCAATGGCAACAAAGTCAACAAGCAATTATAACAAATAACTTAACAATTAATAACGATAGACTTTTCACTGTACGCAAGCGTACTTTTGGGAGCAAGCGGAGCGAGGGCGCGGTGCGGGACGCAAGGTTCGACTGATCTACCAATAACGCGCTCGATACGATTTTTCCCTGCCGTCGCGCCTCACCCTCACCACCAAAGTGATCTAAAATTCGGTTCTGCGCAGTCAAGGTCATTTGCTCAAGAAGTTTGCCGGTTACTATAAGTTAATTTATTAATTAATTTGTACTTGAACCACTACCATCATTTTGATTTTTAAAGTTCCGTATCAAAAAAGATTCTTTTTTATATAATAAGTAATAAGAAAATAGTCTAAAATTTACCATTCCTCACCATTTTTATTTTATTTACAGCGGACGTTATTTTACATCGAATGAAAAAGGAATGGTCGTTAATGTGCACAAATACGTGAAGCAAACTTGGCCTACAGATGAATATCCGTAAAAAACACGTATAATGGAGAAAACAGCGAGCATTTTGGGCATCGGTGTCGCTTCCGTATATAGAATAATAAAAGAATATGCAACAACTGGGAATGTACAAAGCCCATCAACAACCAAAAAAAGGCTCATATTCTCGGAAAAAGTGGACGAGTTTGATAAACAGGCAATACGAAAGAAAGTTCATAGCTTTTATCTGAAAAGCGACCTACCTACATAAAGTACTCCAAGCTGTCAATGAAGATGAAGAATTACCTAACTTTAAGAGATCGACATTTCAGAAAATACTTAAACATTTAAAATTTAAGTATATAAAACGACAAATAAACAATGATTTAATAGACAGAGACGGTATTGTACTATGGCGAATGAATTACTTAAGAAAGATTAAAAAATACCGAACGGACAATCTATATGGATGAAACATGGGTGAATGCAGGTTTGTTATATAATTGTGCCTTTATTATACATATCTTCACGTCCGTTATCCCAAATCGGGGTGGACAGAGCCACAATTTGCCAAAGGCAAACTTGCAGCCACCTTCGGTATCATTGTCCTAAGATGGAAATGATGAACCATATGGTGACAGGTTACCAGCTCATCGCCCATGTAGTAGTCCATCACGTTTAGGAGGATACTATCCCTTAGTCGGCTTTTACGACATGCCCAGGATGAGAAGCAGCTGAACGCATTCTATGTTGTTAATCTCCCAGTTCAGCAGAGGAGCCTTTATTATGTTAGTAAATACTAGCTCTTGCCCTTACTTTACTCTTGAACTCGTATGGGCTGACATAAAGGGACACGTAGTTCGCAATAATACTACATTTAAATTTGAAGATATGAAAAAACTGCTACAAGAGGGTATCCAACATGTATCTGCTGATAAATGGCGAAATTGTGTGGATCATGTTATAAAAGTCGAGGACAATTTTTATAGCAATATTGACAACATGATTGATAATACAATAGATAGTTTTATCATAAACACAGCTGACTCGGACTCTTTCGACGAATCATCTTTGTCTAGTACAGATGACAGCGATTAAAATTCGAACTTTGTAATAATTTATTTAAATAAAAATGTTTTTTACTCCTGAAACTTTGCTTACATTTTTTATGTAGTCTGGTTGGCCTTACTTTACTTCCAATTACACTATAGTCGAATCCAATAAGATACTGACGCAGTCTCTCAGTTCTACAATTAATCATGTAATTAAAATCAACCAAAACTACTACCAACAAACATACTACCACCTAGTAAATTAGACATAAACAAAGGTGTAAAGCGGATTCTTCCATCTAGCTCTTCATAACCATCACAACCCGAAATAAATAAAGCTGAACCTACTGTAAATGACAGTACTATCGTAGTCAGTGATTACACGGATGAAGCTGACAGCAATTGCTCTCTGGACGAAGAACTAACAAAGTTCCCTAAGTCACTTAAAAAAGAAGAAAACTCTTGATGACAGAACTAAAGAACAAGTTTGGAAGGATATCAAAACAGAGCTGGATCAGTTAGAAACACAACTCCATTTTCCACTTACCTTAGACCAGTTTATTAGCTTTTTAAATAATACCGGTAGCAAACAAAATCTTCGAGAACTAATCAAAGACTATACGGATGATATCCCGGATCTAATTGATATGTGCACGTTTCTCCGCACCGAAATGAAATTAAATAGGAATTTCAACAATAGGTTGACTCTCACCTACCCCACCTGCTGCGCAGATAGGGATCCGGCGACTTTCTCCTGTGGAAAAAAAAATGGTTTAGTTATTTGACATAATGAAAATTTCGGTAAATATTTTGGTAAATATTCTCCCATTCCTCTGTGACAGCAATTTTTAGCTCACGAAGCGTGATGGGGGAGGGTTTCGTTGTTTTACGCATCTCCCTAGCACGTCCCATGCATGCTCGATCGAGTTGATATCTGGGCTGCGTGCTGGTCACTCCATACGAGTAATGTTCTTTTCTTGTATGCAGTCACTCACAATGAAACCTGTTGCATTATCTATATAATAGGTTGCGGAAAAAGTCTTTTCGCATTATAGTATGGATGAACTTGTAATAAAATCTCTTTGGCTATACTATTTGTATCTGGCTGGTTTGGTATCGTTAAAAGTTTAAATTTTAAAGAAGATAATTCCTAATTCAAATTAGGAAAATGTGTGATTTTTATTTATTTTTCGTACTGTCAAGATGAGTGTATCTAATAAAGAAATTCGATACATTTTAAAATTTTACTACAAAAAAGGTAAAATTGCAACGCAAGCCGCGAAAAAATTTGCGATGTTTGGACCTAGTATAGAGTATGTGAGAGTAGCACAAATTTGATTTAAGCGTTTTCAAACTGGAAAATTTGATGTCAAAGATGCACGTCGCTTTGGTCGCCGTATTACGGGTAAAATGGATGCCATTTTTGAAAAAGTGGAGCAAGGTCGGCATATCAGTAGTTACGACGTAGCTGAAGAACTGGGAATTGACCACAAAACAGTTTTGGCGCATTTGAAAAAAACTGGGTACACCAAAAATCGATATTTGTGTACCTCACGAGCTCACTGAAAGATACCCAATGAACCGTGTACTCATTTGTGATTCTTTTTTAAAGAACCATTTTTGAAGAAGCTGATAACTGGTGATGAAAAGTGAATCACGCACGACAAGAACGTGTGAAAAAGGTCGTGGTCAAAGGCCGGTCAGGCTTCACAGTAAGTAAGCAGGCGAATAAGCCGCCAAATTTCAATGCACGTAAAAATTAAATGCAAGAACATAACATCAATTTTGATGTCAAAATGACTAAACGAGAGCTGTATATGTTGATCAAAACAAATAAGCCAGAGAAGGTATATTTCATCGATGAAATATTTAAAGCTCATGAACATGAGGTATTACGTCTGCCGTCCTAACACTGTGATCTCAATCCTATTGAGTACGATTGGAATTTGATGAAGCAAAGGGTGGCAGACAAACATATAGGCCAATCTGAAAAATACATCGAAAGATTAACAAAGGTAGCGATACAAAATATAACCCCAGAAGACTGTTGTTGTTGATTTGTTTTGATTGATTGATGTTGTTAAGAGATAAGATTTGGCATTATGACAGGCTATATGAACTTTAATTATAATATATATTTTAATTATAATACGCGAATTAATAATTTTTATTAGGAGGAGAAAACAGTGACAGTAAAACCGATCACAACATTTTGAGTGATAATGAAGATGACACTGACAGCGTAACGATGTCTGGTGTTGAGGATCTTCCAGAATAATTTCGCCACTTTCTCCTGCTCATTAGTTTTTCTTTTACTTTATAAAGTACATATTGATGTAAAAGTTGTTTAAAGTGTAAGAAAATTGATAAACATAAATAAAATATATTTTAACTTTACATCTGATATTTTTTTCCAACATCTCGAATGTTTTTGCTTCTCCCTAGTTCGCATGACGTCATTAAACCAGGTTTGCAGATATTTCCGACGATACGTAGATACCTGATAGTTTTTATGTTGAATCTGGTAGGAAGCCAGATTAATTGTTGACAGCACCGAAAAAGAGCAATGAATGGTTGTTATAAACAAAAATGGCGTTTATTTCGGTTTTTAGTTTGAAGTTAAAAGGAGACTGTTACAGTTTGTGGCTTGTTTTTTTTTCAAAAATCGTGAAAGTTTCCGTGTAATAACGGTGAACACTTGTAAGTGGTTGTAAGCGAGAATCCTATCCAGATTGTGGAATATCCTTCCATAGGTAAGATTCATTGATTATTTTTTACTAGTGTGAGCATATTTTATCATTAAAATATTTAATACCTTTTGTCTTGTAAATTGTACTTAATCTATGCCATAAATTATACAAAATCAATCGTAAAAAACTATAATGGGGGGTTTACACGGGTGACTAAAGCCGCACGATTTTTGCCGCGCGGCGTAAATCGACCATCTAAATGGCAATTCGGCTAAGTTGCAATTGACTAAAGCCGCAAGCCCCAAAGTTGGGTAGCATCCGACTTTGGCCGCGCGGCAACCGGCCGCATGCGACTGGTGATTAAAATCGACCGTGTAAACGATCAGTTGCAGGCGATCGCCCGACGCATGAAGGTGTTTCGCGCACGCACGTGTATTTATTTACTACAGCGTTTCTGTGTACATGTATCGTAACAACCATGAATAAAAATAACACCATACAGTTTTTGGAATGCTATGAAATGCATCCATGCTTATGGAACCCAAGAGAACAAGATTACAGAAACAATAATGTACGTTTAGCGGCTCTTAAATCTATTATTCAAGAAATGCGTTTGTCCATAACAGTTGAAGAGCTTAAATTGAAGATAAAAAATATACGAACCACGTATAATAGAGAGGCCAGTAAGGTAGCAAAGTCAAAGAAGTGTGGCGCGGGAAAGGATGATATATACAGACCTCAATTAATTTGGTTTTCTGTAGCTGACCGCTTTTTAAAGCCAGTGATAGAAGGAAGAAACAGTAAAGATAACATGGTAAGTCTTATTATTATTTATTAAATAGTTATTCTTGTTCGCATATTATAAATTATAATAGGTAAATCGTGAACAGAGACATTTTTATAATATTACTTAAATAAACATACAATATTTACGCAATCATTCTATCTTGCCATGAAACTTTTCCTGGTCCGACAAAATAGTCAGCATATCTATCGCGCAGATCTTTGGCATTTCGTGAATAGTTGTTAGAAGATAGCGGTGTCATTAATTCGTCTACTCCTGCCGTAGGAATGCTTCTCCAACTTCCGTTTCTGATTGTCCCTGAACTGAAGTCTTCTCCGTCTACTAATTCGGGAGTATTCATGTATATGAGATTAGTCCGAAGCCAGTTATGCAGCGCACAGGTCGCTTTAATAATAGAATCAGTTTTATCCAATGAAACAGATATAGGTTTTCTGTATACTCTGAATCGTGAAGCCATTATGCCAAAGGCATTCTCTACGATTCGGCGTGCTCTTGATAGTCTGTAATTAAAGATTTTTTGTTTGTGTTCCAAACCTTCATGTCTTGAATACGGTTTCATTAAATAGGTTGCCAAAGGGAAAGCATCATCACCAACGAAAACTGCCTTATTAGGTAGTTTTAAATTATTTCTTTCAAGAGCACTATAGAACTTTGTTTTTTTCCAAATATGCGAATCATTCATGCGTCCATTAGTTCCGAAATCTATATATATGAAACGGTAATGTGCATCCACTATAGCAAACAACACCACACTATAAGTGCCTTTGTAATTATAATAGTCTGATGCTCCGTGTGGTGGATTTTCGATTAATACGTGTTTCCCGTCAATAGCCCCACAGCAAAAAGGAAATTGCCAGCGATCTAAAAAATCCTTTTGTATTTTCTTCCATTGATCTGTGGTGGATGGCACCTAAAAGAAATAAACTTATATTAGTGTATGGTTACAGGGAAAAGATTCAGCGGTGAACACAAACAGCGACGCGTCTTCATATTTTGATGAATTGGAACAAGAAGATAATATTGCGCCCTTACAAAAGAAAAAAAAATTGTCTCCAAAGAAAAAGGCGGAGCGTGCTCTAATGGACGCACCTAAAATGGACCCACCTGTTTTACAAGCAGTCAATAGATTAGAAACTTTGGCTCAAACTATCCGTCAAGATGAATTTGATACATTCGGAGTACATGTGGCAAGCCAATTACGTAGTTTGCCATTAAGAAATGCTATTGTTTGTCAAAATTTCATCAATAATTATTTGTCACAAGAAAGACTGAAAACCTTAACACAACATTTTCCAATTGCTAGACCTACGAGTTCACTTTCAGAATATTCACGCTATACTTCGACTCCAGAAGCCGAAGCTACTACTTCCAGAAACCAAGCTTTTCAATACCAGCGTGAAACTTCGACTCCCGAAGCTTCCACTTCTAGAAGGCACCTCGATTATGAAGAAGACTATTTTGCCAGCTGTTTACTTACACAAAAAAATACTGGGCAACAATACGGAGTGAACGACGATATTCTATCTCAAGCTGTTAGGTCATGCTTAGATGAAAACACAATGGAAAATTTATAAATAAATCGTTTATAATTAATTACTAGTTTCACTTACCATAATGAACTCCTGTAAAACATTGTATATAGCATCCAAAACATCCTTCAAAAACAAGGAAATTGTGCATTCTGGAACTCTGAATGACTCTGCAAGACTTGAATAGTTATCACCGGTAGCCAGGAACTTCAGGGTTATTTCTAATTTAATTTTCGGAGAAAGTGCTACTCGCATATTGGTATCGCATTTTTGTATAAGCGGAGTAACCTTATGTAGTAAAGTATTAAACTGATCAGTAGTCATTCTTAATCGTTTTTTAAAATAATCAGGATCTTCTAAACTCCACTCAACCAATAAAGTATCCGAAGCACCCAAGTCCTTACGTCGAGAAATCCATCCACGTACCCAAACATTACGTTTTCTTCTTTCCTTTTGTTTTTTCTTCACTCTTTGTTCTTTAAGCAATTGTTGAATAATTGAATAATTAATTATTTCAATTCCGGCACAAACGGCTATTCTGCTCAACATTTTCGATGGAAATGACAGAGCCGCATGCGATTTTAGTAACCAGTGTAAATGGGCTAGCGATGCGGCTTGGTGAGGCAATTAGTGAAGCGACTCGCCGCACGGCGAAAATCGACCCGTGTAAACCCCCCATAAGATGCAATTTTGCAATGTTATTTATTATTGGTATTTTTTTATTGCGTTGAATAGCGTCTCAAGCATGCAATTTGCCTGAGATTAAGTAATACGACCGCTTATGGACAGTAGCAAAACCAACCGACACCATGAATTACAAAGCAATGCTTTGCATTCCACTGCGCTTAGACATGACATAATCATGTAAGTCTCAATATGTCCAGTAGTTGCTCTGGCTGCAATGTCCTTCAAATCGGAATATAATAGTGCATATATACTGCTATTTGGCGTGAGAAATAGTTGTGTTCTTGTTTTTTCATACAATGTAAACCACAAATATCAACCGGTTGTTATAGCATTATCACAATTTCGTGTCTTGTTTTCAGGATTCCAGCTAATGAAGAATGGAGGGCTTTGTGTATTATTTCCATTAATATTGACGACAATGTGTCAAAATTTGCATGCGTTTGTAGTTTACATTTTAATCAAGATAACTATTTAACAGAAGCTAAGAAAAAGTTAAAACCAAAAGCGGTTCCTTCAGTATTCCGTAAGGTAATAAAGTGTTAACGTGTTTGTTTTTTAATATATGATACCCATTGTGTGTGTGTGTGTGTGTAAAAATGCTATGCAAACGGCTATTAATTTGTGCAAAGCTGGAGAATCAATAAAAATCACAGCTAAAAAGTATAGTTTAGCTTATACAACTTTGTATAGGCATGTGAAAACTGGCATTGCTGCATCAAAACTTTGGCGATTCCGTCTCGTTTTCACTGAAGATCAGGAAATAGATTTGGTGATATATCTCAAAGTTGGATTCAGTATTTTTTGGCTAGACTCGAGATGAATTCAAAAATTTAGCGTTCATCTACGCCAAGAAAAATAATTTGAACTAGCCGAGTAATTGGGACAAGTACGCAAAAGCTGGAGATGATTGGCTACCGTCATTTTTGTCTGTTCACGATCAAACTCAGGACTCCAGAGGCAACATCGGTTGCAAGGGCAAAAGGATTTAACAGACATGAAGTTGGACGTTTTTATGAAGACCTTGAAGATTTAACAGTAAAATATAATATTTAGATTTTACAACATGGATGAAATTGGTATATCTACAACCACAAATAAAACGCCTAAAGTGCTATCAACGAAAGGAAAGAAACAAGTGGGCATAATCGCCAGTGCACGTGGTCAATTAACTACTGTCATAGGTTGTTGTAATACCGCTGGTTCATTTCTCCCACTATAATTGATGGTGCGCCTTCCGGCACTCAAGGAACCGGTACTCCAAATGGTTAGACTTCAGGTGAGGTGTTCTTTGATTGGATGCATTTTTTGTGGAGCTTGTTCGACCTACCCCTGAGAAAAAAATACTTCTATTATTGGATAACCACGAAAGCCATCAGTATTACCTAACTTTAGGTTACACCAGCAAGAACGATATCGTAATTTTATCCTTGGCTCCACACACAACTCTTAAAATGCAGCCCATGGATGAAGCGGTTTACGGCCGACTGAAAACTTACTTTGAAAGGGAGGTAAATTTCTTCCAAAAATAGCACCCATACCGCATAATAAATCAATACGATGTAGCCAGATTGCTAGCACCAGCTTTTCTGAAAAAAGCAGTAGCTCAATATGCAGTTCATGGATTGGAAAGACCTGGTATTTGGTCAGTGAATAAATATGCTTTTGGTGACGAAGATTACCAAGCAGCCGCTATGATTGCAGGCACGTCTAATATGAATATTGGCACCGAAAGTACAAACTCACTAGAGAGCTGAAACTGGTAATATAATGGATGTAAGACCATTCAGTGAATGCTTCCAAGCAAACAGGATGGGGGTCCAGTGACATCTATGTACCATCGGTGTGGTGTTACCCCCTCTTCGAATTCCTAGAGGGGACGACGGAGCCATGCCGACCTGGTACGGATACTGTGGGTGGGGTAAGAAAAAATAGTATGTAATTCTCAAACTGATGTTTTATTTGTAAGATACACATACACATACAAAATTTATGTAGGAACTACTCTCAACATATTCTCTTGAAAAGAAACTCTGCCCTGAGTTATGATGCGGGGTAGAGCAAAAAGCTTTTTAAAAAGAAACTACAGGGCTACCGTTCAAGGCAGAAGATAGTTCAAGACTGTTTTATTCGTAAACATGTTGTGCTTTTGTACTATCTTACAAACAAGGGGTGATTACTTATTCTATTTCTGGGTATGGAATACAAGGAGCATTATATTTTTTATCTAATCCTTAATTACTAAAGTTAAACAATGGAGTTGTTATTAACGTTATCTGGTTACAAAGCGGCTACTGTGTAATAGGCTGATTATGGCTACATAACTCCTGTCTATGGAAATAAGTTGTAAATTTATTGTGTACATTGTTACCTTTATTATTGCGTTCTTTTTCACTTGTTTGCGCCAGACATACCTATGTTTCTTTCCGCTAGTCACCTAAACGAAATTTAGAATTGTTGATATTCTCAACATCGACACATATGTATTTGATATAACTTTTTAACTTTGTTCTTAAATAATTATGTAAGGCACAACAAGCTGGCACAATTTTGTCGACATTATGTGCACACTTATTCTTTGACGAAAAACCCTACAACGTGCTGCTAAGATTCCCAACGCATTTTCGACTACTCTCCTTGCTCGTGATATTCTGTAGTTGAAAATCCTTTTTTCGTGAGTTATGTTCTTAAATGGGTATGGCTTCATAATGGGTATTTTAATGTTGAATGCTGAGTCTCCCACAAATAACTTGTCCGAAAGTTCTAACTTGCCCAAAAGTTCTATATTGATTGAAAATTCTAGCTATCCTAATACAGTAGAAGATGCAACGGAAATTAAAAAAGGGGCAGGAAACGCACAAGTGATCCAAATAAATGGAAACAAAATATCAAAAAGATTTTGAAAACTACAGGACAATTTTTCGTGTTTTCTAAAAAAGGATAAGTACCTGCCCGCAAACTTAAGCCACTTTGCAATGTAAAGTGTAGGCTTAAATGTTCAGAAAAATTTACATCTATTGAAAGACAAGCTATTTTTGACGTATTTTGAGATATGGGCGACATTGATCAGCAATGATTATTTATATATTATATAGTATGTCAAACCTAGGTATTAATACACTAACGCGGAACGTCCGAGACAGCCCAATAACGCTTTTCACTTTAGTTTTCTCTCTCAGGAACTCTGAATATTTTGGATCGTATTATTCGCACAGTTAAAGAAAAACTGACAAGCTTGGCGTTCTACAAAAAGATCGAAGAGATGACATGATTGAAACGTTTCTTACTGATCGTTTTGCGCATGCGTGCGTATTTTCCGCGAATTAAAAAGGTAATGTAAACTTAAGGACGTACAAAGAAAATAACGTCGTTTGATGATTTGTGAGATTCGTTATCCAAGTTTTTTAATATTTAAATATTCATTAGAGGTATTGTGTTCGTGTGTGGAACAGAAACAAGGTAAGAAAGATATTTTACAAATTTGATATAAGTATAGGAGTAAGGTATTAGGAGTAACGAGTAACGATATGATTGTGACGGATAATCATACCACTAATGATGAAAGTCTTATTTCGGATATAAAATCTTTCATTGATGCCATACCGAGAATAGAGTCGAATTACACAAGGCAGACTTACAGCCGCGAATGTATACAATGTGTCCGTGCATCAGTGTCGGTGACTTAAAGGAGTAAAGTATGGGATTTTTATCGACAAATCACTATCCCAATATTCTCTTAGTTCAATTCAACCCGTTGAAGACACAAGTATGCGCGTTCACTGCGAAAAAGGACCCCTTTGTCATGGCGCCACAATTCCAAGGAGCACAATTTCCTGCAACCTTCACGAGTATCGGGATACTTGGGGTCGACATTTGGTGCGATGTCCAGTTTCGGAGTCATTTGGAGAGCAAAGACAAGTTGGCGTTCAAAATGCTGGGAGTCCTCAACAGAGCGAAACGGTACTTCACGCCTGGACAAAGACTCTGGTTTTATAAAGCACAAGTCCGACCTCGGCATCGAACTACTGTTCCTACCTCTTGGCTGGGGCTCCCAAATACCAACTACTTCCGTTTGACTCCATACAGAAAAGGGCCGTTCGGATTGTTGATAATCCCGTTCTGACGAATCGTTTGAAACCTCTAGGTCTGCGGAGGGACTTCACTTCTCTCTGCATTTTGTACCATATATTCCATGGGAAGTGCTCTGAGGAATTGTTTGAGACTTGAAGAAACAAAGAATTAACCCATTTTTTAATCTTTTAACCTATCATTAACGTCATAATATGTTACTTATTTGTTGCAGCTTAAGCATATAACATCAATTGGGAGACCTAGTTGCTGAAATTGGAGAAGAATTCAATAAGTTTACACGAATGTCAAAAGAGGTAATTGAATTTTTCCT